TACAGTTAACATTGGAATTGTTACGGTTTAAATAGAACTCGGTTCTTTTGATGCTGGACCAGTGTTTCGTGTCAATGGATCAGTGATCTTTATGGTGGAGCACGGCCTGCAAGTGATGACTGATAGTTAAAAGTATTTGATGATGTGAATTACTAGCTTATTTTTCTCGTGTGTACGTTACGTTACATGGAATTGTATATTTTCATTTTATGTAAATGTACTGGGAGTAAACAAAAAATGTTTTGCTCGATCCTCTTTAGAATGAAACGAACCAAGCAACATTTGTTGTTTAACAAGTCTGTCCGAAACATTGTTACAAGACTTTTCATGAGTAGCATTCAGTATTGTGCACGTTCCAATTTGCGAGACAATTTTACAGACTACCCTACATTTTAGATGTCAGTTTCATCTTTGTTATTTATAGTCTGAAAATATTTGAGTCGCGTCACGACTCTTCTCTTTGATGTAAAGAGATTACCAGTCGTGGTTAAACCGAATTTTAGGTGACATTTGATAAGACTACCCCTATATCTTCTCTCGATGGGATATAACTGAGAGTTTCTGCGAATTCTACTTTTCTTTTTGTGGTATCAATTTTAATCTAATATTAATGTGTTACGTTAATCTGTGTCATCGAAACACAAAGGTTCTATAAAGGTATCGTTTGTAATGAACAACTGGCCTAAAAGTGAACTGAACTATGTAGAATTAACATCGAATGTAAACCACCAATAACAGTCTCATTCCTGACGAATTACGAAATTGAACGCCAGCTAATATATCACATCAGTTTAGTCATTAATCATTGACCATAGTAGGCAACGGTTAGGCTCGTTCGATTTATCCCGTTCAGTGTAACCGATTAGGGGCACTTTCAATCAAGATTGTTTGCCTGGCTGTGCCAAGTTTGCTCAGAAACGCGATGATTGACCCACTTAGTGGTACTGGGTATATTGTCGCCGGCAACCTCGTCCGTTGGCTCCTTTTAATTGCTTTCTAAACATCGCTGTGTATGTACGGCATTTGGATTAACGTGTGTATGCAATACCCGACTCAAAGGCTAGCTGTTTATAGCCTCTGCATTTCAATAAAGGCCTTTGTAAATTTACCCATACACCGATGATGGATCTGGTAAAAACTGGTAACAAAAAAACATCATCGTATACTTACACATTTATTTATCTTGACCAGTAGTATGTTAGGGCAGATCAGTACCAAATGTTTTTGTCTTCAAACTTTGAACTTGTTTATCGCAACACTTGTATCCATCTTTGTTTCTAAAAATAGATTTTCTTCCAATAATATGTTCGATGTCTATTTCTTTTTTCACCTGGATACGCTTCTTTTTTAGAACAAAGTCAAAAATTCAACTTTTAGCCAAACAATCGTATGTTATTCTGTTATCTATTTATTTTCACTGGCAAACCGGTTATTTGGCGAACTAGAAGCGTGTTCAAATAGCTGCACGTCTATCCACGTTCACTGTGTAGCTGTGTACCACAAACAGATGAAACTATTTCTATTTGTACTCCGTGTGGACTCGTAATCAATAAATTATGCTGGACGAATTGACCGGAATACCGAATTAATATTATTCCGTCGGTTGATCAAACCCAGTATCACGCTAATATTAATTTATAGAAAGAAATTAATTCGTCAGCCATTCCGCTGGGATGAAATGATGCTAATTTACTGAATGCTTAATAATTGCGTGAACAAGTGAATAAAATACATAATTGGTAGCTTTTAACTAGTTGTTCGAACTATTATTATTTATGTCTCCGACCATAAATTGCTGGGAAAATGCATACAATTAATCTGGGCCAAGTTACTTAGCCTGTTAATTTTATAAAGCAGAACGGGATTTTCTGGCTTTATGCGCAGACATAACAGCGGGCATAGACTTAACAAATCATAACCAAGCACGACGCATAGAGCTAAGCCAACAAGTTATTTATAGACCAATAAAAAGCCAATAAACATGTTGAACAAGCCAAAGATTCAAAGATTTCCCGGCGTCTTGGAGGCGCGTCGGAGACGGCGATGTCGACCTAATTGCTGGCCGTTCAACGACACTCAACCCGGATGCTGTTGGCAGCCTTTGCAGGGTGGCTCTCAGGCTCTTCCTCACCCTCCCCCCCTCCCTCGCAGCCTGCCTCACTGAGGGATAATACTATATACTCGAAATATTGTTGGGCAGTGACACGAACTAACAATTGAATTTTGTTTATCTGTTTTGTGACTTGGAGTCTGATTGTACCTAAAATTTTCGTACATCTATTCAGTGTGTCGTGATTGTGAATTGTGCTTTTGGCTGTGCTGTTTATTTATTGGGATTGAAAATACTGTTGGTGCGTTGTTTGTATGTACCTACTTAAACTTTTACATTGACATTGAAGATAGCTTAGAAACTTTTTAGTTGTTCATATCCATTTTCATACAATAATCTGCCTTCGTCTTTCAACATTTTTCATTCGCCCATTTTCTCTTATAATACGCGACTTCTTAAGATAAGTACTGAATCTAACTCTTGATCATCGGACCTTAAAATAATATTAATTAAGCGGGACCCACCAATTATAATAATATGAACCTCATACACATAAGTAGTACAAGTAATTAGTAAAACATGTGTAATTAGTTAGTGGATTAGTTGACTCATGTTTGTGTACCCTTGTGAATATTTTGGCCTTGTTTTTGTAGGCCTGTGGTTAATTAAGGAATAATTATTAACTAAAAATAGGTGTGTTATCGATATGGGTAACGTCACTTGTTTCATGTCTGTTGCTAACCGCGTGGGTGATCAATTGACGTTATGTTTTGAGTAATTATATCTATTACCATTTGATTACTTTCGTCTGACCTTTTATTTTAGATATTGTTTCTTTTCCAAGGGTTTTCTAGTCAGTATCTTGTTTATTCTTATCCAAATCTGTTCTTTCTTCACCCTTTTGCATAACAGCATCATTTGCAATCATCTTAACTTAACACGTCGCCCATAACTTCCACTCGAGTTGGTTTTGCGTATATAAAATACGAGGATACGCAGAACACACCCCCTCCCCCGGCACACCTCTATTGTGTATTCAGTACGGTTTATGGAGTACTTAACCCTCTCTTTTTGGCAAGCCCCGCCCGGTAACCATGTTCCTAAACAATAGTGATACGTAAGTAAGTACTGTAATTTTAAAAGCTTAGTCCTAATGCTTGAACCTGTCGTAAAATGTCAGACGTATGCTAAGTACTCCTCGTTGAAGCCCAACCCTCAATGTTTCAGTTTACTTTGTAGGATCAGCTTTCATTTTGACAGCTGAATTATCTTTTGCCTCGGAATATTTTTGTGTTTCCTGTTCTTTTTTATTGTTATGTGATATTTTGTCTTGTTCTTTCCAATATCTGGCTGAAAGAATGCCTACAAATACATCAACGAAATTGAGATCTTTTTCATTTTTACGCAGACTTTGGGATTATTTCCGAGTTTGCTTAAAATTATTATATGAAAAGCAAAGGCAAGCATTTCGTCAGGTAAAATTTCAGAGTTGAATCATAATTCTGTTGATCTTACTTAAGTCATCATAAAACTGCAGAATTAAATGTTTACTCGTGTGTTACAAATTCTGAGAAAGTACATTCATCGCGTATCTTTTTATATCATTCACGAGCTGTCTTCATGTTGCTTCTAAATTATGTACGACACTGCAATAAACCATCTGATGTCTTTATAGCGTTGTAAAAAGAATGTAATAGCTTTGCAGGTGTGTACTGCAGCTGACACTCTTCGTAATTATTGATTCGGGTTTAGATTACGAGGACCCTTTCTTTAAATAGATTAATTTGCAAAACACAGTACACAAACTACCATGTTCGTTATGGCTATACGGTTATTCTTGTATAAATCATCTAAGAGCTTTGTTTCCATCCTATCCACTACTTAACGACCCCACAGAATATTATCTTCCTTTGATAGTTTAATAACTTTCCTCTAATCCCCAAAAGTTTCCTTGGCCACCTAAATCCTTCGAACCTGCGCTGAAATAATTATATTCAATATCCTTTACCTTTACCAGTAATTATGTGGGACGAGGCTCACGCCCCTGCAGAGTAGGTGCGAAGATCCCCCACCCTTGTTTAATTATGCACCGTTCAACGCTAAAGTGCACCCGACGGGAAGTTTTATAGCGCCGTAAATAGCGCCCAGGCTTCTACTTATACAATGAGAATATCGCAGAAATACTACTCTGAGTGTCTGATGATTCCCCTAGCTATAATAGAATCTGATTTTCTATAAAAAACTACGTCAGAACACATGTGCCATGCACATATTCATCACTAGCTTCCGCAACTTGGCCGGTCATAGTATCGTAAATTTCATACAGAAATGCGAAAGTCTTAATTTCGGATAACAAATGTGAAGAATTCTCGGAAAATGTAATTTTATTTACAAATACATTCGCATTGTCAATTCGCAGATATTTCGTGAACGTCATTGGCTCCTTTGACGCAGGTGCGTCGTCTGGAATTCGTGGTCTTTAATCATCGTGCATATGTTTGGAAGCTTTTCCTTTTCTTTTTGACTTGAGCCTCTCTTTTATTAACTGCATCCTCTTTACCGATCTAGATTAAGCAATATCATTCAGTTTCCATTACAATATCCTATATCTCTGTTGTATCATTTTGCATAATTACATTATTATACTGCTGCCTAACAAATTGCATACCAACAATCTCGCAGTACACATTGGACGATTGTGTCTGATGAACTGTGCGTGCCCATGCATCCGCCCACTGTGCCTACGTAGGCGGAACGCGACGTAGGAGTAGTAGTCTTGTAATCTACTGCCCACACCTACAGGGGATTGCAGATTTTATTTCTGTTCTATAAAAATGTTGTTGATCGACTGTAAATCGATTCTTGGAAATTAAAGGGATCTTGACCTTGTGGATCGATGTTTGATTCTCAGATGATTTGTATTAACTGTTAATTTTTTTTCTTGTTTCAGAGCTAGAGGGTTGTCGGGCGTGGTGCGGGCGGCGGCCGCGAGCCCGGCACCATGGCTACGGTGGAGGGGCGGCCGGCGCAATATGGCGTCACCCTACGGCAGCTTCGCGAGCTGATGGAGTCTCGCGGCGCCGAGGGCCTGGCCAAGATCAACGCGCTCGGTGGTCCGCAAGAAATATGCAAGAAGCTCTACACATCGCCCACAGATGGTCCGTACCAATTCCTTATTATTCTCTTCATTACCATTACCTTTCAGCCCAACAAGAACAGTCACTTACCTTTCTATAGACATTATTGCGGTTAATCCAAATAACTTCAGGTATTTAAACCAGAAAACAAATACGCGTTGAAATCCTATATGTACCACAAAACAGTTGTAGCTTTCATTAGTAAATACCACGTAAACCGCAGAATTTCATAAGCTCACACGAGAAATTGTTCGCCTTTGATGATTTGACAAGTTGATTCATAGCTGCAAGTTAAATGGAAATTCTTTAAAAATAGACCGCTGTGAGCTCTCGGTTATGACGGAAATATAATTCTCCAAATGTTTAGTTTGTTCTTACCTACGTATGCCTTATCTATATCTAGTCCTTAGTGCCAAATGCTTATAAACTTATATCAAGTTGATGAAATTTATGTCTCTATAAAATGCATTGTTCAGTTAGAGTATTTCTCAGTACTGAGCTCTATATTACGAGCAGCTGATTGTCGATACGGCCCATTGAGAGTCCTTAGAAGTGCCGCATTCAATTCTGACATATTTATTCAACCGCGACCTCCACATGACAGGCGTGACGGCCTAGTTCTTTTTCCGTCTCGAAAATATCACATTTTTGTCGTAACGTCAAACATGTCAACTTTTTGTCTTTCTTATTTAAACTGCCGCTTTAACAGAACAACGTCGTCCCATAATGCCCATTCATCAATCTAATCCAAACAAAGTTTTAGGAAATTGGAGCTTAACGAAAATGCTCGAGTAAATGTCCCATTTTTTCCCCCGAACATCAAGTTTAATCTTGTTGAACTGTTGTCAAAACCGCTATCAGATCGATAGCTATCCGAACTTCTTGAACAGGTGGGGAGGCTAGTGGCTTCTTATCCTTTGCACCCTTGATAATGTTTCCGATAACAGTTCACTTAATAGCTTCGTCGCTTATACCTGAATCGCAGATTATAACTTGTTAAGTAGGTCTTTAAATATTATATCATTAACTTTATTCGCTAGCACTGCCGTTATTTCATTAAGTATTCACATAATGTGTGTGTCCATAATGGATATAGTGCTACGGTAACAAAGAGCGTCCAATGTCCTTTTTTAATGTCAAGCTGGTATTAATCTCCTGTCTAATATTTCTTTTGACTATAAAATATATTCTTGCTTGATTCAGCAACTTCACATTAATTTCGGGTTTTATTGTTAGTTGTAAACCTTTGTTCGCGTATTTCATCATCATCTATTCTGAATTTAATGTTATCAAGAAGATTTAAACATGCGAAATGATTGATATTTATATCAACATTAAATTTTTTGATGTTGTTTAGAAAAATGAACGTAACACATGTACAGTGATAGCTATAGTGCATCAAGGTTTATCGATGATAGTTTACGAGTTTCGGTATCTCGCGGTATTTATAGTGGCTTTTAAATCTAAAAAGGGTTTTTCGCTCCCTCTATCGATCTTCCGTTCCTTACGCTTTGATATAAATATACACACATGAAATATCTATTTTTGGGATTAACATCGCCGTTGTATTAAATCACGCGTGTGCTATTAAAATTGTGATTACGTTGTGTTTATTATAATTTATACTGTACGAAACGTACAGACAAAAACGGTATTAGAAAATGTGATTCAATTTACCATGATACAAAAGGATTTTGACAGTTTTGAAATTTACGTTATCCAGTTTGAAAGTTTGTCAACACCGTACTTAACAAAGTTAAATTCAAAAGGGAGCAAATGTCGTAAATCTGGCCGTAACAATATACAAGTTTACCTACAATCTCAGGTTGAGTTACTTCGCAGTTAAGTTAACCGCAATCGGTTCGGTGACGGGGGTGAATCTCCTGGGATGGAGGCCCTACGTGCTTCATAACAGTCTTGGACGTAGAACTTGCTCTTTTATCTCCCCACACTCAAATGATATAATTCCAAATTCTTTTTACACAACGTACGTAGATACCTTCCTTGTTTGTAATGCAAGATAAACAGGAACCCGTTTCTGTCGCATTTCTTCCCTGTGCCCCGCAATTTCATTAAGTACCTCTTAAAACATTTCTTATTTGACATCATTGAAGAAACTCTTGAAATACTTTACCTTTAATCTTGGTCTTTATGTTTTTTGTATTTTTAACTTCACTGGAGCCAGTCTTACTGTATATTGTTTCAGAGTTACTCGAAATACTCTGTTCCACAGAATATAAAACGCGTATCTATTACAAAGTGTCCAGTATTTGGCATCGAGTCTCATCATACCGACACTATCGCAGCAGACTTATCGATATTGTTCGGAAAATGTCACGATACGTATCAACTAACCGACAGCGACCATTTATTCCGACCCAACTCGCCTTTACCAGATCGGATACTTTGATTCACTGCCAAAGGAATATTATAGAAAAATATACCAGCTACATGCCAATGTCAAAGTTGAAAGACCTAAAGTTGATGTTGACAAAACCTTTATTGGCCCAACGGTAGTCAAACGCCAAGCTGAAGGTTCCCTTGAAGCGGCAAAGGTCAAACTGAGTACACGTTAAATGTCGACAAATGGATTGTTTGACCCCAGAAAGGACGGTTGCAGAAATATATGATTTTTGAAGTAACCACTGAGATCGATTGTTAATTCGGCCATGTTGAAATTCGATTGTAAGCCCTCTTAAAATAATGAAAAATTGATGGCGCCATTTTTAAGTGATTACATTCAGAACAAAACATTCTGCAAAAAAGCAGCGGAACCATCAGGGTGTTGTAATTTGAAATACAAATAGACTTAATTGAGACGTCGTAACAATCGACTCTGATGTTGAATTAGCGTTTGAAAGCGATGTTAAAACCGACTGCGCTACCTAACAGCTGCCAAAGTAAACAGTCAAAATTAAAGTTTTCGTAGTGAAAACGGCTGGAGACAATTCCGCAATATCCCACGGCACAAGGCGAGATTAGCATTTTGTAAACCGGCACTCTCAGCGGTCCCAAACGTCCGTCCGGCTCTATCTTTACTCGAGTACATTTCACGCTGGCTTGCAGCCGCAACCATAAACTAAAAACCAGTACAAGCCGTCTGAATTAACTTACACAAAGAGACACTAAAGAAAATCTTATTCATTGTTCCATCATTAATTAGAACGCCTTGAAATTTCGAATCTATTTTACAAGTAAATTAATGGTAATGAGCACAGCAATTCATCAAGATTATACATCGCCTGCTAACAGCCTTAATTGGGTAAAGTACTCGTACTTTTAGAAAATGGAGGCGGTAATGTCTCCTTTGTTCAAAGCTTTGCTACAAAGTGGTGTAGCTGGCTACACACGACACACAATGCACATTATGCTAACGAACGGAAGGCAACTATTAAAAATAGAACGTTTTATGGAAAATGCGGCATGTGTCATGTCCTTTTAATGCATCTCGTAATCTTGTTACTCACACTTTGCTCATCAAAAAGTAATTAGCGCCAACTAAAATATGCTATGACTAAAACGTGGCGCTCTGCACACCGCGGCACCGCTTCGACGACGTGTCGCGACAGAAAAACGTTTAGAGGTTAATAACATCGCGGAATTTTACACATTTTGTAAAAATAGAATCTAAATTACCCAAAGGTTTTGGGAGTTTAGCTTATCAGTCCTTAAACATAAGAGTTAAATCGATACGCAAATGTGGCGCATAGCCGCAGGACACATCAATATTTGCTTAATTACATTAAAAGGTCACGTCTGAACCGGCAATCCTTTCGGTTGGTGTCATGGCGTCCTAATTAATAAATGTCTGCACCCACTCGATGGAGCCCTAATACGGGAATTTAGTAGGAACTTTATGGTCCCCATACCGTCCTCGCAGTTAATGAGGTCACGCATTACTCAGCACTGTTCGACATGTCTTGGTGCGAAATATCAACTTTCAAAGGTTTCTATTTACTTCGCAGAATACTTCGACTTTACAAAAAACTTCTCACGTCAACAACTTAAAAATTAGGCCAGGTAATCTTATATTTTGCATTGAAATTTCGGGTCAGGTTTCCACTTAATTTTGGGCGCCATCTATCCATGTCAAGTCCGTCGTGAAACGCAAAAAATCCTTTACTGCCTCCCATCATGAAAGGCCCCGAATTTTATGTTCCAAAGTTAGGGCCCGCCTTGATGAGTCTGAGAAACTATTTTATATATCTTCCGACATTCTGGACGTTTTGTTCCGAAGGGGAAACGAGGATTGCCGACGTTACTTGAAAGACGTTGTATTGACCTGACCTTTATTTAGAGTTCGATAGGTCTCGTGAGACTAAGAATACGTAGAATAGCTACTATTCATGTTTCAAACAGAAGAATTTGTGCTAGAATCTTGGAGTCGATACCATTGCGATTTGTGTCAGGCCTCTGGTGACGTAACGAGTCGAGATGGGCGGTCGATAAAATGCCAAATATAAGAGACCAAGTCGGCAACTCTTTGTGTTATATTGAATGTTCAAACGACTAAATATTGATCGAAACATATATTATGTAGAAGTTGGTTAGCAACTAAATTTTTCGTTCTGCGCTTGATTTTGAACCGTGGCTATGGCCGAAAAGTAATTGACTAAATTGATAAAAAGTTGGAATGCTGAAAGAGGAATGAAAAGCTTTTTACATGTTTGGTTAAACAAACACGAGTTAGCAATACTCTTGAAATATCCGAACAACCGAGTAAATACCATCGTGCCGTCTAACCGTAAGCTTGCAAACGTCTATTCTAACTTGAAATTCTATCTGACAATTCACCGGTTACGAACCACTCTAAAGGCAGTCCGTTGACTCCAATTCAATTCAAGGAAAGGTCCTATTGAAATTGAACTTTGTAACTGCAATATCGTATGAAAATTTAATGCAGGTAGCCTACAAACGTTGTCTGTAAACCAATCTGGTTCATGACAACGTCTTCTGAATTATTTAAAACGTTTTGTCGTAACCATTTCGTTGAATAGCCTTCCGAATTGATAGACAGTACG